CGCCAGGGCGGGGGCTGAGCCTGAGGCGGGGGTCGGGGCCCAGGGTCGGGTGCACAGCGGGGTGCGGCGTCGGGCGGCACTCAGCCCTGGCAGGTTGGCAGGAGCCCGGGGGTCGTGGGAAGTGGCCCTTCGATTCCAGCCGCCCTGCTTTAGCGAGGTAGGATGGCGAGCCCGGGGTCAGGCGGGGCCTGCGGACCAGACCGTGACTTCGTCACGAACCCCAAATTCTCTCTCCCCTAAAGCTGGGGCCCAACTGCTCCGGGAGGGGCTTATGTAACCTTAGCCTGGGCCCTCTGCACAGGGGCGCAATGGGATGGAGAGGTCCTCGATCTGCCAGTGCCGGCATGTGTCCATTGTGCTGGGCTGACGAAGAATACAATGGGAGTGGCTGTCACGGAAGATAAGTGTCACTGCCAGGAACAGAGAGATCAGGAAAGAGTTGAGCCATGAACTTGGTCGTATGCTTTCCTCAGGCATTTAGTGGTCGTGACCATCTTTGGGAAGAGGAGAATTGCCCACTGGACACCAGTGGGCACAACAATACTGACAGGAGTTGGGTGCAAGCCTGTAATCCCAGCACTCAGGAGGCTGAGACAGAGGATTGCTGTGAGTTCAAGACCAGCCTGACCCACATAGTAAGACCCTGTCTCAAAACAAAAACGAAAACAAAAAAACCCAAAAAAACCAATACTGCCAGCATCATGTGCTTTTACCAAGGCTTAGTGAAACACTTTCAAGTGAAGCAAAAATGCTGTTATCTAGCACCGGATATGTTCTTGTTGCTCACTGATTTAAATTACCACCTCAAACCAGTGGAAAGCTGAAATCCGTGTAGGATTCTTTAAACAGAACGTATCTGATCAAACGCTGTGAGACTAACATGTTTTAAATGATTGCCAACCCAGGCTCTACAAAAACAATCAAGTTGCAGTAAATGCAGGGGAGGGGAATGCCAATATGTCAGAGACTGAAAAGTCAAGAAAATTACCAAGAGATGACAGTATAAAATGGAAGGCAGTATTTTTGTAGCAGATAGACCTGGGAGATAGCAACCCCACCCTGGTTGAGGGAGCTTCTGGCTCCATATGAAGCTGGTATATGTTGCTTTGCCTTTTCTGTGTGGTAGCACATAAACTCCAAGAGACCACAATTTTTGCTTCTTGAGCTGTCCTACTGTGCCTCTTGTGTGTTTATTTCTCAGAAGTCATTTCTTGGACAACTAACAATGACAAAGGGCTGTTATTTTGTTTCTTGGTTTTTTGAGACAGGGCTTTACTGTATAGTTCAGGCTGGCTTTGAACTCGTTATGTAGTCCTGGCTGGCCTGAACTCATGATGATCCTCCTGCCTCAGCCTCCCAAGTACTGGGATAACAGGCGTGTGCCATCACACCCAGCTTGACGAAAGGCTTTTAATACCTTGAAACCTGTCACAAGCAAGTCAGCTTGTATACATCTCTTTTAGAGGTTAGATTTGTCCATTTTCTTTTAGCTATTACGGTAATGCAGTTGCACAGCACATGGCTTTATTGCTGCAAACCCTGTCCGTCTTGCTGTGCGTTGAATTGCGTTTGGGTTTTAGCTTGAAGGAATCTCATTCAGGCTTCAGTGATCTCCTTCCAAGGGAACACTTCTACACCTGAATGGAAAAACACCTTGTTATTGGGAGCTCTCTATATGGGAAATTTGCTGTTTCTCTCCTAAACGGGTAACTAAACAGGCTGCTCTGCTTGTAGCGTATCTGATGTTCCAGAGCCAAGCGTATGAAATTTTGGAAAGACTTGCACAGCTAAGAGGGACAGGAAGGAGGCTGGTGGGCACTGCTCATGTTCCTTTTTAGTGTTTCATTTGTACCCCATCTATGCATCTCATGGCGAGGAGGGGGAAACCTTGGGCTCCTGCTGGATTTAGCAGTCACACCCTTGGCTGTGGGCAAGGCTTACACATGGGCCTGTGGTGCTGAAGTCCTGTGATTATCAGGCCCAGGAGGTCAGCTGGCTCTTTGTCACCAAAACTCAGGAGTGTGTTTATCACAGCACCTCAGCTGAGCAGACAGCTGCATGGTCTGCTTCTCCTTCAGCATCAGAATGGCTTCTACTTCCTCTCCGAACATCTCAGGTACCTGAGGCTAAATTTAGCATGTTGTATTCTGAGATGCCGCTGAACAGATTGGTCCATTGATGGTGAAAACACCCTGTGGCATGTGCCTGTGAGCATGCAGGAAGGAACCTCGGCACAGGGCTATATCTGTTTCCAGCAAGTGTGGATTTTGGAGCAGTCAGAAGTCTCATAGAAGTGGATAGAATGTGAGATAAATGGGTGATCATTTTCCTAACTCCAAAATGGAACAGAACTGAAATTTTAGGAGAGTTCCTGTTGCCGTATTACCTCTTGTCACCCTAGGCTAAATTAATCTTCTCCTCGTCGTGCTGTGCTGCATTGGGTTCTGTGAGAGGTGGTTACAGAGCCTGACTTGTGTTCCGTAAGTAGCGGTGACATGTCGATGGTGTTGCCTCTTAATCCACTGGTATGACAGAGCGCTTTGGGCACCAGAGAGTCCCTCAGGGAAGGGTTTTGGTCTCTGGGTCACGACATACAGTTCCATAGGCTGTCTTTGTTAAGGGGTACCATACTGAGGGAAGGCTGAACTGTTTTGGGCTCACCCTCTAGGCTGGTATGGGCAGCACCTACTAGAAGAAGACATCGTTCATTCACTTATGGAGATGTTCCTAATGTAAAGTGGGTTATGCAAGTTGGTGGGCTACATTTACCTACACATACCTATACATACGCCCATGAGGCAGTACCAGATCAAGACAGAAACTAATCAGTACCCTTGAAAGTACCTTGTAGAACATTTCACAAATGAGCCATATAGAGCAGTGGCCGCCTTTCTCATCTACACCAGCTGTGTGGGTTTGCATATATTTTAACATTTACAAGTTGATCTTCAGTCAGTTAGCTAAGATACATTTACCAGCATCAAAAGCAAGCGTTGACCTTGGCTTCATGAGTGTGTAGAAATACCTGTGGTACTATCCTCCCATCCTAGGGTTTGAACCCAGGGAACATTACCACTGAAGAACACCCCTAGCCCTTTTTATTTTTTATTTTGAGACAGTGGCTCACTAAGTTGCTCAGGCTGGCCTAGAACTCGTGATCCTCTGCTGTCAGACTTCTGAGTCAGCCTCCTGAGTAGCTGAGATTACAGACATCTGCCACTGTGCCAGGCTCAGATAGCTCTTGAAGAGCCAAATCATGGAAAAACCCTAAGAGATACTGTGGGCAGCTTAGTGTCTGAGAAGGCTCAAATATGCAGTGTTTACAGAGGGATTGTCAAGGGGAAGAGTGGAGAGACAGGCCTAGGCTTTAGGAGGAGAGACCCAAGGGATCCTGGAAAAATGGTAAGATTAGGAGAGGTAGAAATGGCATGAAGATTGTGGTCTACACTGGCAGGGACAGTCCTAGAGAATGAAGCTGAGTTCAGGGAGCTGGGTTTTAGCTTGAAGGAACCTCAAGGCTGGGGACAAAGCCAGGTGAGATATCTTTCACCATCCAAATCTGATCAGCTCACTTCTAGCTCATAAACCATGGAGACATATTAAATTAAAGGTAGCTGGGTACAGAGACTCCTAGTCGAGGCTGCTCTGAAAACAGCATTCTTTTTTAAAATGGACTTGTTGGGCATAATGTCCCTAGTCTAGGATTAGCCAGACTTGTTATATTAGTTAACATCAGGGTCTGGAAAAATCTGGGCAGATATTGTAGGGATAAAATGAAATGACACAATTTC